TGCAGGTGATGAAATTGTTGCATTTTTGCTTTCCTTTTTAAAACGAGAACACAAGTTAGATTTTCTATAACTGATTGATTTACATGTACAGCTCTTGCATTATAGCAGTACCTCTGTTTACTTTGCTCCCAGGACTCAGTTTCCCAGAAGTCATTGGACATCCAGTCCCGCTCTGATGACCAGCATTCCATCAGCAGCTCCGACAGAGCTGCGATGGAGAATCGTCGGCAGAGTCAGTACAGCTCAGCCTCAGGCATGACCGAGGACGGTCCAAGGAGTAGGACCCAAACAAGTCAGTCTGCCACTTCACTCAGGATTTTTGACCCCTGTGTGTTTTTTGCCTGCGTACATTTTCTGATTAACTTCCCCCCCTTGCGTATCCCACAGAGATCCAGGAGCAGCGTTTATTCTCAGCTTTACTCATAAAGTGCGTCGTGCAGCTGGAGCTGATCCAGACCATCGACAACATCGTCTTTTTCCCCGCCACCAGTAAGAAGGAAGATGCGGAGAACTTTGCAGCTGCTCAGGTACAAACAGCTGTTTTCTCCCACTCCTGCGTAGAAATGCGGCCGTGTTTTGTTTTTGTGTTACAAAGTAATGCATCATTCATTTGTCTTTTCGCAGCGGGATGCTGTGTGTTCAGCAGACGTCTCCGTGGAGACCCAGGACCAGGGAATGTATCGCTACCTGACCTCTGAGCAGCTTTTTAAGTTGCTGGATTGCCTGCTGGACTCGCACCACTTTGCCAAGGCTTTCAACTCCAACAACGAGCAAAGAACCTTGCTGTGGAAAGCAGGTAGGGCGAGAGAACATGGGCTCCATCTTTTCTCCTTTGCTTTTGATCATGTAGTCAAAAATTACAGTAACACAAAGTCTGTTTCGAGTCTCTTTAGGTTTGACAGACAAAAACTCGAAAACTTTAATATGCTGAGCTGTAAAGACTTGCTTGCGTTTGTTCATTTTGAAGGTTTCAAAGGAAAGTCGAAGCCCAATCTCCTGAAGCAGGAGACCAGCAGCCTGGCATGTGGGCTGCGCATCCTGTTTCGCATGTACACAGATGAAAGCCGCCGGGACGCCTGGGAGGAGGTCCAGAGACGACTGCTCAAGTAAGGACCGCATGCTATCCTGATGGGCAGCGGTAACTTTGCATCTACTGAGGCAGTCAGTGGAGCTGAGTGTAAACATTCCAAATCTTATTATTGGCTCAATATTATTATAGTAATCTATTAGAGACTATAAGGAAAAGGACTGGCTTAACCCTTCGTCTAAGTGTACGTAAGTCTATTTGCATTTATTTTGTAGTTCTAAACTATTTTATTGGTCAAATGAAGCCCAAGACGTCTGAAGGAAAGGGCTGTTCTGTTGTCGCTATGACATTAGGGAGGGTTGTTGAGGTTTCGGTAACTGTAGTCGGTTACTTGTGGCGAAGGCCCAGCATGTTAGCTGCTTTGAGGTTGTCTGAAGTGGATGCTGTGTGATGTTTGGATCCAAAGGAATCAGCGCATAAGATGTTTCATTGTTCAGTCAGCACTGCTGTCATCACACTGTCTTTATTCAACGCCTCACACACTGCTGTCATCCCATTTCTCTCCCTGCCTCGCCTTCATATTGATGATGATGTCAAAATGAAGAAGAATCATTGCTCGTCTCTCCTAGTTGCATTCATTATTAGAGAGGAGATAAGAATGGATGCGGGTGGAGGAGGCTAGTGCCTGCATGCAGATCCTAATTCACTGAAATGCTGCTGTGTGTCACTTAAAACACCACATCAGCAGCACAGGCTTATGTCTGAACTCCACACAAGCACTTTTTCTGTTTACCAGAGGCCACGCAGCTCACATGCTAGTTTGATTAGCGCAGGGACCAAAGCAGATTTGGGTGGCCATTAAGTCACAGAGGCGGGAGAGCTGTGAGTGTGAAGGAGGGAGGAGAGGAGGAAGTGGATGTTGTCAGGCAGCTGCAGGATCAAAGACAAAAAGGTGGCTTCAGTTTTCCTTGAGCTTTAAGTGTGTAGAAAAACATCCAATTGTTTTCATACCAGCCTCAGTCTGGGGTTTTAATTAGCAGTCGTTGAGCTAGAGCAACCTTCATCATCCTCGCAGCAATTTTTCATGTGACAAGTGAGGCGGGGGATGCAGATGTTGCCTTGCTACAGTACGTTAGAAAACAACACAGGAATCAGAAGCACTTTTCTATGTTTGACTTCATATTTGACTTCCAGGCTTGTTCTGTTCGGTGTGTTAATCCAGATTTCTTCTTCTCTTTCGTGTAGCGTGTGCAGCGAGGCTGTAGCATACTTCTTGGCCCTGACCTCAGAAAGCCACAGAGAAGCGTGGACCAACCTGCTGCTGCTCTTCCTCACCAAGGTGCTAAAGATCAATGATGAAAGGGTAAGAAGCCAAAACACCCACTGATGCTCTTCCTCGTTGCTGCGCACACACAGACAAGACCTTTTAAGTCTACGTGTGATGTAGCTTAATACTTATATTTTTTTTGTATTTTGTTGGTGTCGGAGGCAAAACAAACATATTTTTGGCCATGTGTGCTGTTACATATGCTTGCACCTATCCTGTTAGGCATACAACAAACAAAACTGAGCAGGCTAAACCTTAATCCCACTACATTCATCATCATGTTTTCCTTGAGTATTATGGTATGGGAAATGGTGGTTGAAGATAACAGCAAAATTATTACAATCAAGTGAAATGAACTCATCTTATTGCATTTGAAATAGATGCTTCAAAGATGGAGACCTGGTCTGCAAACCATTGCAGTCAGAGGCACATGAAGATGATAATAAAATGGAAACGTGACAGAATTAGACTATGGTCTGTTTGCAAGTAAATGGGGTCAAATTGGTATTTACATGCAGTGTGTTAGTGATAACTTGGCAATGAACTGTGATAAATTGGGGGAAAGATCTGTTGCCATCTATGCCACCTTATGCTCAGAGTCCAACCAGAACCTCATACATCTGAATCAAAAATTCAGAAAGTCCTCCACAAAATTTGATGCAATTTGACTGCAAAAGAACACAAACACTTTGCAGCCTTGCTTTCATATATAAATATATGACCAGATTACAACCAATTGGCAGCCAGTTAAGTCAAGTTCCCTAATGCAAAGAGATTGTAGAGTGTTGCATTCATCAGCAGCATGTTGGCAGTCTGTGCATTTATGAATGAGGCATTTATTTACAAACCTTTGCAAATTTGTTTGTGAGTGATTACATTCTCTGCTGCCTCCCACAAGGCAACCTGTCAAGTCACCCTGTGAACAAAACTATTCACTGAAAAAACCTGCAATTAGTCACCCAACGCGAAAAAATTAAATTCAGTCCCAGTCAGTTGTTTTTATTATTTATTTATTTTTCTGGTCACAGTGAGGTTGTCATCCTGTTTTCACTTTAGTGTGACTGGGCCATTACAGATTTCTCTTTGTAGATTTTGTGTACATCAAAAAGAATATGAGCATGTGTTTAAAGATCTAACTTCTCATTGTCTTCCTCTGTCTCTTCCTGCTCTCTCATCTCACCTTGTAGTTCAAAGCTCATGCATCCAGATACTACCCTCTTCTGTGTGAGATCATGCAGTTCGACCTGATCCCCGAGCTCCGAGCTATCCTAAGAAAGTTTTACCTGCGTATCGGCATCGTGTTTAACATTGCACAGCTGCCAGAGCCTCAGCAGGCCCGTGAGCCAGAGACTGACATGGAGGTTGGGGAGGAGGCTGGGGAGGAGGCCCAGTGACGCTGCACCGCAAACAGCCTGGAGCACGAAGCCCTACCGAGGCCTCCGTCGTAGATTCGCATGGCCGTGCTGGTGCTCTGTGCTGCCTCAGGGGCCTCGGTGTGTTTTTATGCCGAACACTTGATTTAAAATTGGCTGATTGTCAGTCAGTTATCTGTTAACATCCACCCGCTCCCTTAACCCTGTCACCACACACACAGACACGCCTGTACACACAAACAGCCCAGACGGAGTCCTTGCTAACACTATAAAAACATGTCTTGTACCATGTGTAGCGATGCCTCTACTGGATAAAACTACTGATAACCAACTGACAGTTATCCATATCTGATCTGCTCAGAAGGAAGATATAAAAAAAAAAAGGTGTGCTTCTTACTGTATATTTAAAACAAAGAATGAATGGTTTCAGCAACATGCAAAAAGACATATTCTGCAACTATGACAGTGACGTTTGTCACACGTTGATAGTAATGATCTCTGTCTGCACTGCAGATGGCTAACATTAGTATGGATAGCCTCTTGGATGATACTAGTTGTACAGATCTGATCTGCCGTTGTGTAATATAATCTTATAACACTAAATTTCTTTTATTTTTGTTTAAATTTGTTTTCCTTCTCTGGATTTGCTGCACTTGAGCTGTTTTGTTTTTGTTTTTCAAATGCACTGGAGATTTTACTTTTGTGATAATTTATTTGACTGTACCACCTCCTGCAGATTGTCCTAAACAGTACGATTTGTAATTAAACTAAGACCGCGGAAAGTGATGGGTTAAATTATTCCATTTTATATGTTATGAGGTTTTTAACCGAAATAGACGATAACGGGGCTTCTATAACTGGAAGACGACAGCAAACTGATTCTAGCTGCTTTTTTGAGTCACTAGTCTGTTTTCATGTGAGTTTAGTTTTCACTCTTGTGTATAAAAATCAGAAGTTAATAATATATTTAATGGTTTTTTCTTTGGTCTGGGGGAAAGATATATGTATAGAGAAAATGACAAATGTTAGCTGTGCTTTAAGTATGACTGGGGTGCATTCCTGCTCATGGATGTAGAAAACAAATGTATATGATACAGCAATGTAAAGTTTTCTATGTTGCAAAAGAATATGTACAACTTTCTGTACAATACATCATCTGGCATTCTAATCAGGTTCTAGGTCAATAAAGTTTTTGAACTTGGTTGATTTGAAATGCTGAATCACTGAATTACAGTTGCTGCCAGCTGTTTAAGAATGATCAGCCAGGACAACATTACAGTAACATTTTTATTGCTCAAAAACACCATGACTTTATTCATTAACTGAATCCCACCTTTACAAAATGCTAATGTGCTAAATGTAGAAGGTAAAGAGGAATTGGCCACAGTGAGTTTTGTATTAACTGTTTCTTCTGTGATCTAATAGTCATTAATGTTTTTACAGACTCTGGTCTCCAATGAGAGCAAATAGAAACAGCACACAAGTAAAGTGTAAGTCAGTAAAGCACTGCACAGGAAGGACATCAGTTCTCATGAGAACCCCCACCTGCATTTGCAGAAAAGGTGGCTGTGCATTTCCAGTTTAGAGAGCCACCAATGGGAGCTGTGCAATGCAGTGTTTAAGTCTGTGTGGAGCTCCCATCCGCCTGTTTATCCTGTTGCTACAGCCTCACTGCTTTACAGCGTCTGACGTTCCGGGCCGCAGCCACAGTTCCGTGGCAACAGTGTCCACAGAGACACGCCTCCCCATGGCAGAGCCCAGCGACGACATGTCCGCTTCATCACCGGGCAGCCAGTCTGTAGGGTACAGGGGCGTATCCATCACATTTTTTTTTTTCAGTGATACTAAAAAACGCTTAAAATTTGCACATGTTGCTAAAAGCCAACAAGTATATAAAGTGGCACGATTTTTATGTTTCACTAATTTATACGGTGTTTAAGATTAGCTCCCACTTGCTATACTAGTTATAAGCCTGATCATTTAAATGCTTCCTGTAGTGAATTCTTTCGTCTTACCTTTTACGCTGTGATCACCAGAGTGGGAGTCTGGCCTCGTAATGTGGCGTTTGTTCTGGTTGTTGTGACTGGGTACTGCTGGCAGATTATCACCCCCCTTGTCAGCCACCTCCTGTAAATATATACAGAGCTTTGATATCTTAATGATGGTGATCCTTTTGATCTTAGTAAAACACAAGATGCATATCAGACATACATCATAGTTAAGTGCCGTCCTCTCCTGGTGCTCTGCTGATGGTTGAAGGGATCTCTGCTCACGTGCCTCACCACTGTAACCTGACAAAAACCCAATTGCCATGTATCATTAATTGCAAATGTCTTTACAGCCAAACAGATGGTAGGGACCTAAACTTTATTTCGTTTATCCATGCATAATATGAAAATAGTGAGAAAACCCTGAGCTTCAAAAGTATTCAAAAGCCATCAGTCTTTTTTTCTCTAATGTACCAATTGCCTGTGCTCTGGGAGTCTGCTATCACCACCCTGCAGCTGGCGTAGTCACCTTGCAACTAGCACTGGCACCAGCTGCAACACAGACAGCTGGCTGGCACGCACCACAGTTAGCCTGGCAGAGAAACCAAGAGCTAAATTGGCCTGGCACACAGAGTGTCGTAGAAAGGTATTATGAGGTTGTATGTAGAGGACTTCCCAAACCGTGTCACCTTTATGTAAAACATCTGGTGCTTTTGGGATTTTTTTCAAAGTCTATTGTGTCCCCAGTCATGTGAACACAAGAAGGGAAATAAATGAGAAAGACTGTTTTTACAGACGGACCATATTCTGCCAAACTCACCAATAAAAGAACTCTCTGATGGCAATATGGGGTTTCTGTGAGTGGCACGTCCAGGGTTCTTGATCTGGGAGGAGACACAAATGCAGACAGAAAACAATAAAATCTCTACAATTAAAATTAAGCCATGCAAGACTGAATTATCTGCCAGGGTGAAAGTGCAGAATATAGTTACTGTGTAATGTGCTGATCACTTACAGGATAATAATGACCTAGTTGACGGCCCAAGAAGTCTACAGAGGAAGACAGAAGGAGGAGTTAGAGGACAAACATTTGAGGTGAAACTGATTTGTATTTGCTCACTGACCATGAGCAAATACAAACTCCAGTTTGGGAACACATCCAGTCATTTCTTTGGTAGCTTACATGAGATTCACTGTACACATGGGCAAACTGTCCGTCACTGACCGAGGCCTCAAATGACCTCATGAGATTAAAGTTTTGGTTTAGATAAAGGGAGATAGAGCACCAGTTAAAAGTCTAAACCATTTGGTGTCCTCCACACTTACAAGAACAGCATGACCAAAGTGATTGTAAACAGAATAAACACTAACTTCCTCTATGTAGCTTAGTACTGAGAATAAAAGAAAAGCATTATTAGACGTATTTGTTCTTCTTCTTCTTCTTTCGGCAGCTCCCTTTAGAGGTCGCCACATTGGATCATCTGCCTCCATCTCCCCATTTCTAGCATCCTCCTATGTCACAGCAACCCCCTGCATGTCCTCCTTCACTTCATCCATGAATCTTTTCTGTGATCGTCTGCAAACATCATCATCCACAGAGACTTTTGCCTGATCTCATCTGTCAGCCTCTCTGTCACCAGTGAAACAAGAAGGGGCTCAGAGCCTATCTCTGATGTAATTTCACCCCCCAACTGTCACTCCCACCGCACACTTCACTATTGTCTTGTTGTCCTACATGCCCTGCACCACCATCACATACTTCTCCGCCCCTCAGGACTTCCTCATGCAGCACCAGAGTTCCTGTCTAGGCACCCTATGATATCCACAAAGAGTGCAACTCAATCAGTCCTTCTCTACACTTCTCCATCTTATTCCTCTGTAGTTACTCTCTTCACATCAACCCCGTTCTTTAAAAGTGGTACGGTTACACTTCATCTCCATTCCTCAGAAATCCCCTCACTCTCCAAGATTGTGTTAAACACTCTTGTTCAAAGGTCCACGGCCCTCGCTCCTAGACCTCTCGATGTCTCCCGTCTCCTTCCTCTTCAAAGTTGCCCTCACTTCCTCCTTGCTGATTCTCTGCACTTCCTGATTCTCTAACTCCATTTTCATCCACTTTCTGTCATTAACTTCATTCATGAGCTCCTCGAAGTACTCCTTCCATCTTCTCAACACACTCTCTTCACATTAGCACATTTCCACCTCTATACTTAATCACTCTAATCTGGTGGACATCTCTTCCAGCACAATTTCTCTGCCTAGTCATTCATTACAAGTCATGTTCTCCTTAGTGTCCAGCCTCACATACAACTCACTACAAGCCTTTTCCTTTGCCAGGGCCACCTCTCTCTTTGCTGTGCGCCTAGCCTTCCAGTACTCTTTTCTTCAGCTCTCCGACTATCCCACTTTTTCTTTGCCAGCCTCTTCCCGTGAATACATTCATGAAACTATTATTATTTGTGCAATGAAAATTAAATCAGACTTACTTCAGGTTGGTACATTGTAAGAACAACAGTGGTTCAAAGAAGCATTAAAAGCTGTGTCAAAGCTGTGTCTTTTATTACCTCTGTGTTTAAGCTGGATGAACTCCCTGATGTTTTGCCTGTTAGCATGTGCATCAGCTGGAGAAGGACTCCTAGCTGAAGACAGGACAGCTTCTCTATGTGCAGATTCTCTATGTGGTCGTCTTCTACACATGAGCAAAGGAGGAAAATCCCAAATTAAACAGAACAACTACCTCTAATAACAAACAGATGTCTGTCTGAAAACGTAGCAGCAGTTCACTATGCCAAATGCTTTCTAGTTGTGCACAGTAACTATACCATTTAGCTCCACCTGCTGCACTGTCCCTGCAGTGACATAAATTAATTCTGCATTGCTATAAAACAATGAGGGCATTACGCTTGACCTGTACTTGCTGAATACATTCCAAAGCTTTTATGTTCCCTAAAGCGCTGGTCCTTCTGTGTGAGCAGTCTGTGACAAAAGAAAAGCCCAGAGACTGGCACCAGTTCAAAGGCATTTCTCAGATGATTTGCTGTAAACTTGAATACAAGCACAGATTAACAAGTGGCTTGTAAAACATTCCTGTAATTTAGCAGGGAGGGATGCAGTTACTCGACATATCGTGCTGGGCTTGGTAATAATGGGTTGAGAATATTCTAAATAGCAACATGGCTACTGTAGTGCTCCACAGCAATTCACTGAGGAAAGACATGGGTCACTTCATTTTTTCCAAGCACAGTAATACATACTTCACTACAAATATCAAATCAAGATCACACTTTAACAGCCCAGAGTTAGTATTGTGTCTTCACTTCACAACATCTGGGGGTTAATTGGGTTAAATTCAACATAGCAGCGTCTCTAAATGTCTTAATATTAGCCTGGCACAAAAGATAGAAATCCCTGTTATTTTGGGTCTGTTATACCTGCACACATCCCCCTGCTGTTCAGTGCTGCCTGACTGCAGTACCTGTTTACCAGATTGTAGTGGGTCTCGTGTGAATCCGTGCGACCCATCTGAACCTCCAGTTGTCGCTGCTCTTTCCTCAGATAACCACGGAGGGCTGACAGCTTTCTGATTACTTCCTGTTGATCATCTGAAGCATGACAGGGGAGTGAAGGCAGAGCAAGGATCAGAAAAATAAATGTTTATGATTTGCACGCACAGAGGTTAAGACAAATCTTACCCTGCTGGCTGGGAATTTCATCGGGTGGTCGGTGGTGCGGTGCTGACACTGAGCGATTCTGTGAATGCATGTTTTTTTATTATAGAGTTATCATAAAGGGTAAAATGTGAAAATATTTGCAATCTTTGCGATGAGTTACTCACAGTTCTGGATGACCGCTGGCTCAAAACAGAGGAGGGCCTATATGGCGCAAGATTTGCCAGCTTTTTCTGCAAGGTTGGGATAGGCGGAGAGGGCTGCCTCTGCAGGACAACAAGTAAAATGTCATTCTTTGACAAAGACACAGCGAGCTATAGCACTCCTGTCTTTTCGTGCTTACTGTACCTCATAATTCAACTGTGAGTCTTTCTCCACCCTGGTGGTCTGAGGTACCTTCTTAGTCTCTTTTTCCTGCATCACCACCTTTTCTTGCTTCTGGCGATGTGTTTCAGCTTCATGGATCCAGCCTTGGTTTTTCAGCTTATGCTGCAGAGAGTAGATAAAACTATAAAGAAGGAGAAATGATGAAGGACTCTTTATAAAAGAAACAAGCTCATCACCTCAGTCCTCCTTTTCTCTTTCCTTTGCTCCTCCTCATATTCCTCCTGTAAGCGTGCCCTCTGCATGGCGAGCCTCTTCTCTTCTTTCGCCTCCTCAATTCTAATCTGTTCTCTTTCCTCTTGCTGTTTTCTCTTGTTTTCCTCTATCTGTTTGAAATGCACAGTTACAGTTAATTTACAACTTTTTTAAAGTGTTGAGAATACAGGTTGCTGTAAGTCTAAAAGCATTTCATTTCATCCTGCAGTTCATCAGTACCCTCTCCTATCATCCATCTACAGACTGAGGCCCGGGACCTACCTGCTGTTTCAGGGCTGCTCTGTAACTGTCCTGCTGTTGAAGTGTCTCATCCTTGAAACCTGTAAAAGGTGAAAACATTTAAAACAGAAAAGACAGAAAGCCATAAGCTATAGATCTACAAAGCATATAAAATGCACAGCCACTGAAATATTAGGAAGATAACATTACCTGTTAGTCGATGGGAAATGGGAGAACTAGTTTCAGTGCCAGGAGTGGGCACAGGATTCCTATATGATGCCTCATTGATCCTGTGCATGTGATTCAGGTCACCTAAAGGCAGCAAAACATTCATTAAAACATGTTACATTAATATCTGTTGATCATACACATTAAATTATCTGGCCTCCGGTGAACACCATTACAATAAAACTTACTAACAAGGTTGCCTTTTTGGTCTCTAATTGGAGCGCCTCCTCCTCCACTTCTCCCCCAGGGGTTGTATGCCCTCATCTCAGCCTGTATCTTGGCATTGAGTCGTGCTGTTTCTTCTTTCTCTAGTCTTCTGTGCTCCTCTCTTTCTTTAATCTGGGCCCCAGACACAATTTTCAAAGGATGAAACCATGACACCGCTATAACAGAACATGTGGTTTCTTCATGGAGCTATAACAATGTACCTGCTGTCTGAGTGTCTCTTGGTAGCTCAGTACACTCTCTCTCCTCTGCTTTGACTTTTCTGCATGAAGTTCTTCAAAAACCAGAGCAGATGCTCCATGTTGATGAGTTTCTCTGGAAGCAGACAGAGTAGCAAATGGCAAGGAGATATAAGTACAGAAGGTAGTGATAAGTATTCAGTTTGTGAAGACCCTCTTCCGGAAGAGAGAAAAGATCTACTGGGTTGCTGCTAGCAGAGATGAGGGCATTTAATGCAGCTTTACTGAATAAAATCTATATTAACATCAACATGCTGAAAAAATTAACATGTTTTACAAAAAAAACTCCAAAGGTGCTGGGAAGGTCACTGACTCATTTTGGCCACTGGATCTGAGAGGACGCATTCTCTGAGACAGAATCTTGGAATTCTCAGACTGCCGATTCCCCCCGGGCAGACCATCTGATGTAGAAAATACAAAAATATAAGATAAAGAATGCACACGATTCAAGAGATTCATGAACTATCTGCTGCCACTGACTGCCACAAACAAAGCTCAAATAAAGAGCAGGAATTTGGCAGTAATATTAAAATAGAAAAGAAATAACTGACCACTCGCATATAGTATTATCATTAATGTTGCCTTCAGCTGTAGAAAAGGAGAAACAGTAACATTACTGTTTTCATGAATGTTGCTTTAAGCTTTTCTGAAGCTTAAAGCGACATTCATATGATTTGCATGGAGGTGACAGTTGCGTTAAGTGCAGCAGGTCATCTATCACAGTAAATGTAAGGGTTTATTTTAATTTTGTTAATAGGTTGTTGCAGTTTCTTTTTAATGTTGACTTTACACAAACTGGATAGCAACACGTTTTTCAACTCCAGCAATCTAAACATCACCACACTGAAATCAAACCAGTCGTTGTCTGCTTTAAAAACTGCTAGCAATAATCAACAACATAAGTCTAAAAAAAATGTGGATAAAAACAAGAAACATTTAGTAAATACATATTTGTGAAACAGATAGTTACATTACTTGGATTGTGAGGAAGATGAGGATCTAATGGATTCCTGGTTCCATAGTAGTAATAATCTGCATCATATGGAGTCTTGTAATTGTGAGGTACAATGGGAGGTAAAGGAGGAGCAACACTCGCAACCCTGAAACAGAGTTACCAACACTCCAGTGAGTGTATAGCAGGCTGCTAATTTTATTCATTTAATCGAAGCAAATGTGAGCTACCTTGGGATGGTCACCTCTCCTAGGATGTTTGAGAAGTCTCTGTGGTAGTCCTCACTAAAATAGTCCAGTGAGGGGACACCTTGCGGTAATTCCATCCCATTTGAAGGCACAGTCTTCCCAGACAGTTGTCTGAGAGCTGTAATCAAGTCCACCTGGGACTTTCCTGGGGGGGCTCTCTCATCTGCATTCTCAGTGGGTTTGCCATTTTCAAGACTGGGATTTAGGTGCTTCCCTTCGGCCTCTAGATCTTTTCCTAGCTTGTGAAGAACATCCTGGCTCAGGCTGTTATAGTGACGATTCACAGACCCTAGCTGCTGTATTCGGTCAGGCTGGAACAGATTACGTGTGGTCCAGAACACAATCATCAAAGAAAGACAACATATATATCGAGGATAAGATTAGGTGGTACTTCTTTCAAGAAATTTCTCCAAGACTCCACAACCTATGAAAGTTATAATAACAAATCCAGACCTGACACAAACATTATGTTTCTGCTGTTTAAAGGTTTTGCTAGCCAGATCTTTTAATGCTATTCTCCTACCTCTTTCTCAGGGTCAACTCTCAGCTCAAGTCTTTTCTCCCTAAAGAGAAAAAAAGGACAGAACAACGTCACAGGCTTGATGTTGTTTTCTATGTCTTCTTTTTTATTCAGCTGCTCCCTTTAGGGGTCTCAACAACATGATCAACAGCCTCCATCTCACCCTATCCCTAGCATCCTCCTCTGTCACACCCCTCCGCATGTCCTCCTTCATGACATCCAGAAATCTTCTCTGTGGTCTTCCTTGTTTCCTCCTGCCTGGCAGCTTCATCTTCAACACCCTTCGTCCAATATATGTGCTATCCCTCCTCTCCACATGTCCAAACCATCTCATCCTTGCCCCTCTAACTCTCATCACTTCTCTTCTTAACCTAGCTTCGACAGGTCTTTTCTAAGTTAAGAAGAGAGGTGACCAGCGATCAGTAGTTTGATTTCATGCTTTGTAGATCATAAGGGTTGAGCTAGCTTAAAGGACTCTGATGAAATGATGATTTTGACCAACAGAGGGGCAGCCGCGCCACTGTTCCAGTAAGAGCTGAGGAGAGTCCCAGATGAGGGCTCGCCCAGCAGCCGCGGAGCAGAAGTCAGGGGGAGTTGCAGTGACGCGCCCGTGAGCTCCGCCGGCCCCCAGCTGTGCCTGAGTGACCGAGCCCCCAGGCCGAGAGGCCGGGGGCACCCCTCTGTTGGTCTTCCATGGTCTCTTGTATTCTGGGGCCTCTGGATGTCTGGAGTTTTGATCTCCTCCATACCCACTTCACACCCTGGAGGACGGGGCTGTGGCCCCCCACACTCCCTAGCAGATCATTACATGGAGAAACCTTTGGAATGCAAGCATGCTGATCCACACAGGTATGCACACATGGGTATTCACAGACGCGGACTAAAGCTTTCTTGGCTGCTGCCTCAAAGCACACTGTGCGCTGTCTATCTTGCGTGCTGCACAATATCGTTTATTATTTAGTAAATATTGATATCTATGACTAGCTAGTTTATTGTGATGGTGCTTTGTTTTCTCTATTATTATGTTGCTCTTTGTTGTTTGCTGTCTCCTCTGTTTGTTTTTTTTGTTTGTTTTTTTTTTTCTCCATACAGGTGACCCAGGAGTTCTTTTTTTTTTCTCTCTCTTCCCCCCCCTTCTCACCGTCTCTTCTCCCCTTTGGTTTTCTTTCTTTCTCTCCCCCTCTTTCTCTTATTCATTCCCCCTGTCCTATTTATTAAAAAAAAAAAAAAAAAAAAAATGACAAAGGATGAACTGAAGCTCTGCCATCACGTAATGTCGCATACTGCTGTTTCTGATGTCATTTAAAAAAAAAAAAAAAAAAAAATGATGATTTTGAGAATAAATACTTACTCCATCTTCTTCCTCTGCTTTTCAGCAATTTGTCTCAGTAACTCCTGCCTGTATTGTTCTTTCCTCATCTGAGTTGTCTCCTGCTCTTCTGTTATTCCTGCATCAAGACGTAGAGTCATTAAAATACTGCTTAAGTTCTGAAATATGACTTTAATTGATAAATTGCATTTATTATCTGTGTAGTAAGAATGTTTTTACCTATCAACAGTCCAGTAGCAAAATCAGCCTTATCCTTCCTGACAGCAGATCTTGCAGCCATCTTCATGCTGGCTGGCACTTGAACACTATTGAATACAGATACACAAACAGAACGGGACTCTCCATAAGAGTCACCCAATTACTGACAGCATGTAAGGGTAACATCACTGCAATAACTTCCTCTTTAAGCCACACTCAGCTACGATTTTATGTCACACAGTGGCTGCAGAGCTTTGAGGGCTATAACTCAGAGACAGAGAGCAAAGGCTTGTGCTTCATCAATCCAGCTCTTCTGATAAACTCTAGGGTGAGCAATTTTTTGCCTGGAAAAGGGCCAAGGCTCACTCTCTATCACAGCACCTCATGTTACCAGGTTACTGAATGTAGTTCAGGAACAATGAAATGCAACAGCAGGCAAAAGTGTTGAAGAGCAATAACTGAATATGGCAGCAGATACCAGTATAATCAATTATGGTACTGATGGTATTGATTCTGAAAATTTATGAGACTTTCCAGGGGGATGTTGTTGGCCGCCCTTGTCTATATGTGACCACTGTTTCATCATCATAAATCACATTGCTGCAAAACCTTTTGCCCAGGGCAAAGCATTTATGAGCTAACATTATTGCTAGTGTACAGTTAGGAGCTGAGATCATTAACAGCTTTCTAGAAGCAGGGGTCAAAAAACATAAACTTGCTTACTCAGACTTCCAAATTGTGTCATTGGTCTTCTGATGAGAAACTGTAGGAGCCGCTGTCTCCTTTATGTCCTGAGAAGCCCTGCCATAGAAACAGACAGGACAGTGAAATTTGGCAGAGGAGCAATCTGATCTCATTTATATGGTAATGGATGAAACTACCAGTAATTCAAATCATTTTCCAGAAAAAAAAGGATACTTCTTCACTCTGCACTCTTGCGCTGTCATCTCCTCTTTGTACCCAGGCTCTTGAGTGTGCCTGTCGTTCCTCCTCTGTATCTCAAATCAAAACTCATCCCCTCTGTCTGTGTTTAGCTCGTCTTCAGAGCTGTAGGGCTCTGCTCTGAAGATTTGACAGCGTCTTCGCCGCCTCTGAACTGGACTCCTGATTTCTCCATCGTTGAACACCTCGTCAGAGTGGAAGCATCTTTCCTCTCATTGTGACTGGGGACTATGTTTGTGTGGGTATGTTTGTGAGGGATGACAGGGGAGAGGCTGGGGGAGAAATTTTCAAGCCATCTGAAGCGTGAATCTGTCCAGGCTGAAAATGAAAATGTGAGGAAGAAATTCAATGTGAAAAAGATTTACTTTGTAACAGAGTGCTTTTCGTTATTTGTCTTTCAAGTACTCAGTGAGCTGTATCTACCTGATAAATGGAGAAGCTTTCTACTGATAGAGAATCCTTTAAAGTGTGCTATAAAAATTGCATGGATTATTGCACCAAACACACTAGCGTTATTGTGCACGATCTGCCTATTGAGTCATCAGTCTTCTTACCTTGGGACTGACAGAAGACGTTCTCCTCTTTACCGTTCTTATTTGAGCTTGTTCTTGGAGGAAGAGGTTGTATTCTTTATTTCTCTCCTCTCTCAGTTTTTCCTGCAAGAGAAAAAACAAAAAGTCAGAGTCAAGCAGCCACACCGCTCAGTTAAGCTCATGTGACACTTAGAATTTAAGGAAATACAAAACTTAAAGAATACCATCTTCTATCAAAAGAAGATACATATTTCTGCTTGCACACATTCGATTGACGATGAGGTTAAGGCTATATTTTTTGCCTCAATATTTCAAAAATGCTTGCATCAATACTTATCAACATTCAGCTTGTCGTGCACAGACGCCTGAAATCCCTCTTAACTTTTGTTTGTAAGTTCACGGTCTTATATAAAGAAAATCAGTTGCCATGAAGCGCGCAGCACTGTGCAGTCAGCAGTTTGTATCAGTTCTAGCTGAAGAGCTAAAGCTCTACTTTGATGACTGAATGAATGCAGGCACACCTTTACAGATATCCTCTCATCAATCGGTAGTGACACTCCATCAAGTTGTTGTTGAGGCTCTTTACTTTTCAGATCCGTTTTCTGCAGGAAGAATAAGAGATTTGCTGTGTGTACGCAAATGCAACACAGAGGCAACTTAGTTAAACACAGACATAAACTCACCAGCCACTTTGCTAGGTAAACCTTTTCAGCTGCTCATTAATGCAAATACAAAATCAGCCAATCACATGGCGGCAGCTCAGTGCATTTGGGCATGTAGACAGGGTGAAGACGATCAGCTGAAGCTCAAATCAAGCATCAGAATGGGGAAGAAAGGTGATCTAAGCTACTTGAATGTGGCATAGTTGCCGGTGACAGATGGACTGGTCTGAGTATTTCAGAAACTGCTGATCTACTGGGTCAGTCTGAATCCAGGGAGCAGTAGTTCTCTGGGTGAACATGTCTTGTTGATGCCAGAGGTGAGATAAGGGAAGAATAGCAATGATTGCTTCAAACTGATAGGAAGCAAACAGTAACTCAAATAACCCTTTGTTACAACCAAGGTATGCAGAAGACCATGTGAACCTTGAAGTAGATAAGCTAAAGCAGATAGTGGTGGTGTAATGGTGTGTGGGATGTTTTCTTGGCAGACTTTGGGCCCTTTAGTACCAACTGATGATACTACGTATATACAGCCTACGTGAGTATTGTTGCTGACCATGGCCATCATTGTATGACCATGAGTATCCATCGTCCGATAGCTGATTTCAGCAGGAAAACACTCCACCATGTCATAAGGCAAAATCTTGTTCAATCTATGCCATTTAGATTGCCAAAATGGTTCTAATGTGGCGTTAGGAAGGTATACCTAATAAAGTGGCTGGTGAATGTATTTTCGTAACGATTTCTGATATGTCATTCCAGATAACAAGTTCCCGTGTTCCAGACAATTTTAAGATTAGGATTTAAGATTTATTAAGTCTTAAATGTAACACTAATAAAAAGGAAATGTCTAAAATGCACATTTAGGTGTTTTATTCCATTCTGTCAATTGGATATGTATGCAAATTAGCACATATTTAATCTATGTTAATCGGACACCAATTTTTTTTTTTAAATAATTCAGCATAAGCTTCAAAAAACTTGCAATACATAAAATTATTATCTTAATATAAGTAATCAGCTGTTGAAATTTCATTGTGACTGTGATTCATTGTGCTTTTCCTTCTACAGTGAGCTACAAATTTTCACTTCGGTGGCACTTACATAAAGCAAAGATTTCCAGTTTTATCTAACTTGATGTTCTGACTTTAGGTTAATTATTTTTCATATAATGTTTAGTCTACTATTTAACAATTTATTACAACAGTGAATGAAAATAACTCAGTAAAAGGTTTATACTCTAATGCCTTTGTGTGGTGCTCTGTTGTTTATTTCTCTTTTTTTATATTGAGATTGCTTTTTTTTTTTTTTTTTTTAAATTGTGCATCTTTTACCTCACTAAGCCAGTTTGTCTTGGCATATTTTTTAAATTTTATTTTAATAAGCTATTCTGATTTATTTAAGACCTTTTCTTATAGGTTATATATAATTATATGCCTGATGTAACAGTAAATTCCTATTGTTTTGGCTAAATGAACTATATATTATTTCTATACATGTTCAGATTTTTATTTTATTTATTTATTTATTTATTAAGTTATTAAGTTATTTATTTATTTTGCGTCGTCACACCCTGGATATATAGTTTCTGTAGTCCAGCTGGAGCTCCCGCTGAAGTTTCTGCTTCTTCCTTTCATACTCGGTACCCAGCAGATGGCTTAAGCCAATACCTGGGAAATACGGCATACGGTATATAGAGTAGACTGTACAATAAAAACAGGAAACTATTCACTAAACACTACAGGCTTAAATAATGCAGCCAATTCACTACTACAGCCTTGTACAGTACCTCTGTCGGGATTGGGGTTTACTCCTAGAGCTGCTGCTGAAGTCATATTTACAGCATTGTGTAATTTGCACCATCTGACCCTGACTGTGGAGAAAAACTCGCTGAAACACCGATTTGTTTATTAAAAAGCAACATGTGATTAAAAGAATTCCTTTGTTTGTTTGTTTGTTTGCTTGCTTGTTTGTTTTTACTCACCGGTTGATTAGTTTACACCTATAAACGTTGCTTCGCAAGTCCTTGATCACATATGGCGGGGAGTTTTTTCTTCATGCTTCTCAAAAAAAAAAAACGTCCAATCGTGATACACAATACACCCAATAAGGCAAACACTGGACTTAATGTTTATATACCCCATAATGGGGTATATGAACATGCGCGTCTATTTTAAAGCTCGGATGTAACTCTGGCTAGACAAATAACAAGACCAAATAACACGATATATATCAATAATTCTTAAATTTCCACACACAGCTCAAACCTATCCGACCGATCTTTCACATCGAGCCCAAAGCGTCATTCCGTTGCCATGGGCAACCATGACACAAACCTTCTCCTGGGAGAGGCTAGCAAACACATCTAACACAAACATTCTAGAAAAATATGTCTAATATAGTCCAAATGTTAAGTCTTTAATAACTCTGCAATATTTAACACTAGGATCTGAATTTTCTGTTTCTTTTTAATCGTCTTTAAACAACATAAAACCAGGCAAAGTTTATTAACAACATGTTAATAAACTTAACATACTGCTGTTGTCTAAAAATGATACCATCTAGCCTTACCCAGCAGCCCTTTAGGCTAATTAATAGCCCTTTAACTTACTAGCTACGGCCTTCCTCCAGAATAGTATTGCCTAATTATTGAATACTAGCTTCAGTTTTATTGACTCATTAAATACTTCAGCTCCCAGTACAGTGCTGAGGCTCTAAGAAAAAAGCCCTGACAAATAGATGTAGGTACCTTTCTAAAAAGCGCCGCTAGATGTCAGTGCGTCCCCAGAAGTTAGTTTGACGTCGTCGCAGGACTAAACCATAGCTTCCGTCACAGGGGTAAATATATTCTAATAAGAGTAATAAATAAGATACAAATATGATTAATGAATGCAATATCACCATATATCATTGCGTTGTAGTGTTAAGAGATGGCATATAACAAATAAACACATCAGTGGTAAATATGTGTAATATGAAAACGAACGTCCCCGTCGATTTCACTTTGTTGCGTTGGTATCGCTCACTGTCATGGCTCCTTGAGCGAGTGGCTATCAGCTCCTAAAACGTTATCAAAATTTGGGGGAGAAATACAGCACTTCTTCCCTTATTTAAAGAAAAAAATCGGGTTTTTTTACGGCTCGGGTTTTGCTTGGATACATTATTAACATGGCGGGGAGCAATACGGCTCAGAAAACATGGGAGCTGTCTAACAGCATGCAGGAAGTTCAGAGCATTGATGAAATTTACAAATATGACAAAAAGCAACAACAAGAAATCCTCGCTGCGAAACCATGGACGAAAGAGTGGGTGCAAAACAACATTGTGGTATTTAGGTTTCTGTCTAAGTATTTAGGTGATTGCTGAGCTGCCGTATTCGTATTAAATGGTGTTCGTTGGTAGTTTATTGTTGGAACATT